GTGTGCATCCTCTACCCTGATTGTGCATGTGAAAGTATTTCCTTATCCAAGTTGGTCCATATTTCTGTGTTTTCAGGTGCATGTCATGTGTAAGCAGTCAGTGGGGATGTCAGTGGAACACGCAGGACCACACCTGCAGCGATGCGGACAACAGCGTGGTTGGTTCCCACATCATCAAGCACCGTCAGGTTAGTTCTTTCTAGAGCTCTGTGTTTAGTGACAGGTCAAGGATTCTTTTCTGTCATGTATGTGTATGATAGATGTGGAGCACAAGTATAGCACAAGTTTTAAAGGACACATCTAAACTTTACATGTGATTCACTGCCTGAGTGGTCCAAACTCCTCCTGAAAAATTAATAAATACACAAATCCCACTATCAGCTGCCACCATCTTGCATGACAAATGTTGCAGGGTGGAGGATATCAGATTCCAAGTCAGCAGATGTTTCAGCGATATAGTTATCTGCCGCCACAGATGAGGGTGTCCGTTAAGTGGTTAGCATGTTTAAAATGTAAATTATTAAATTACCTAATTTGTTTTCATTCTGTTTCAGAGCGCAAACTGTCCTCTGTTCGAGAATCCAGATCCTGTGCTCATCCCTGTGGGCTACAAGACTCGAATCAGCTTTGAAGGCATAAATCTGAAACATTACCAGGTAAACTGGCCCCACTCCACCCCCAACATGCATCTGAGTTCCAGGGAAAGAAACACTCTTTCTGTTTGTGGATATTCCTTTGACAGAAAAAAGAAAAACACAACAGGTTCATTTTTAGGCTAAAAGAAAGGAGAATGAGCCAAACTTGTTTCAGTTTTTTTCTACTCTTGCATCTGTTAATGAGGGGTTTTAAATTGGCTATAGGTGTAAATGTCAGACTGTATGGTCGCGTTTGTACTGCAGTTGACACCTCTACAGGGTGTATCCTACTTCCTGTCCCATGACAGCTGGGACTGGCTCCAGTCCTCCCAATCCCCGCTGTGTAGGATAGGGAATTAAGAAAATAAAGTAATGCATCTGTATGATTTCAAAGAGATGGGGTCCCCCATATCAGGTGTACAGTTCTGGCTTTAAGCGATGATACGGCACTCTCACCAACTATTTAAATGTTGCAATTAGAAAGAAAAAAGTAGCTTAAAAGGGAGCGAAAGGAAGCAAAAATAAATTTAAAAAAAAATTTAAAAATGGCTCGTTTAGACACACGGGACCGAGTGGTCTGTACTGAACTTAACTCACGCGCAGAAACCCAGAGACAGCAGATGGTTTAAGGCTTAAGCTCTGGAAACATGGCAAGGACAAAAGCAATAAAACGTGGCGAGGGGAATGCAGAACTGGGGCAAAGGAAAGGGGCCTGAGATGCCGACTGGAGCTGGGCAGGAAACAATCACACTGAAGAGAGAAGACAGTGGAGTTAGGGAGGTAGTGGAAGTAGCCCTGAAGTGGTAAGCAGTTAAGTATAGCAATTCTTACTTGCAGTAGGTGGAAACAGAGTGTTGAGATGGGGTGAGCCAAAATGAATCCAGAAAA